AAAATGTCATTATTTCAGTTCACTACAGAAAATTTATTTATCTTTTTTTCACACTGCATGCATGGTAAAAAAGAACCATGATAGCATACAACTCAATAATTTGTGAAACTATTTTCTACTGATGCAGTAGTGAAATGTAATTGCTTTGGTATAGGGCACTAAGCACTATTTTTTATTGACTTCCGTGTGCGAAGCACAAAAAGGGAGTCTTTGCAGTTAGTGTGTGTGTGTGTGTCTGTTCCACTAGCTGCTATCTCAAGAACCATACATCGGTTTTTGATGAAACTTAGTGCATAGATGCTCTGGGGCAATGCGCAGATTTGATCAGGTTTTGGTAAAAATCCATGCATATTAATTACCTAATTTGCATGATAATTACCTGATTTTTAGCTGTTCCATGACTGTTCCACTGATATCCAAAGAACCACTCATTGGATTTTGATGAAACTTGGCACATAGATGCTCTGAACTAATGTGCAGATTTGATTAGTTTTGGGTGAAAATCTGTGCAATATTAATTACCTAAGTTGCATAATGATTAATAAATTTTTGGCTTTTCCACTGATATCTCAAGTACTAATCATCACTTCTCAATAAAACTTGGTACATAGATATCATAGAACACTGCACAGACCTGATAGTTTTTAGGGTAATATCAGTACATATTAATTACCTAATTTGCATAATTAATTAATTTTCAGCTTTTGATATTTCAAGTAGTAATCAGCACATTTCAATAAAACTTAGTACATAGATGTCATAGGACACTGCACAGACCTGATAGTTTTTAGTGTAATATCAGTACATATAAATTATCTAATTTGCATAATTAATTAATTGTCAGCTTTTGATATTTCAGGTAGTAATATCACATTTCAATGAAACTTGGTACATAGATGTCATAGGACACTGCACAGACCTGATAGTTTTTAGGGTAATATCAGTACATATTAATTACCTAATTTGCATAATTACTTCATTTTCAGCTTTTGATATTTCAAGTAATAATCATCACATTTCGATGAAACTTAGTACATAGCTACTTAATAACTGTGCAGAGACCTGATTCTTCCTGATTTTTCCATGAATGTTCCACTGATATATAAAGAACCACTAATTGGATTTTAATGAAACTTTTAAAGAGTATTCATCATTACATTTCAATGAACCTAGGACTAAGCAGAGACCCAATTAGTTTTTGGTAAATATTTATGCTTATTAATCACCTAATTAAAATAATTAATTAACACTGATATCTCAATTACTGATGATCACATTTGAATAAAATTTGGTACATAAATGCTTTAGACAATAGACAGGCCCGATTAATTTTGGGTTGAAATTTGCTCATATTAATTCTCTAATAATATCTCATAGTTTTTTGTTCTAATCACAAATCTGTTCATATCAGTTACCTGATTTACATAATTAGTTTTCAGCTATTCCATCATATCTCAAGTACAAGTAATTTTGAATT